AAAGCTACGATTTGAGTACAAACAACACCCTCGAAAAGCTAGGAATGGCTTCGAAGGTCGACGAACAAAAATTTACTACCCCCCTAAGAATTTTTACTACCCCAGTCAATTATTTTACTGGCCTAGTAAAAAAGTTTACCGCCCCCGCCAAAAAAATTACTGGGGTAGCCTAAAAATTTTTTTGGAGTGGTTTGCCACTTTTGGTTACTAGGGGGAAGTAACCCCTTTGCAGAGAAACCGCCCTAAGTCCGATCCAACCGGGCCGATCGAGCTCCGCGGGTTTTTATATGATAGATCAGCCACTTGTGCAGCGATATGCGTGAAAGAAATACCGACATTCCTCGTCTTTTGGGTTCAAAATCGACAGTAAGACGGATACTACCCCAGTAAAAAATTTTACAACAATGTTTTTTCAAGTAAAAATTTTTACTGGGGTAGTAAACTTTTTACTATTGGTTAGCCGGGTTTTTCTCTACATCTCGCAACGTAAGACCCAAAAACTCAACTTTGAACGATTTGATTCAATTATCTAGGTCACAATTCGAGTGTTCAAAATGAGCGAAATAATGTGTTCGGTGGGATTCCGGGAAAGTGGTGCTTCGACCCTGACTTTTCACTTACTGTCTCCATCTAACTCAAAACTTTTATAAAAAACGCGTAAAAACTAAATTTTATACAACGTTAGCAGTACCTTTTTTCTTTTAAAAGCATCCCCGCTCATTTGACTGAAATCTTTTCACCGGAAAACCCATGACTTGGGCAAAGTCAGAAACAGTAGTGTATCGATATTTGCTTATCTACTTGGTATTGCGGTGAAGTGAATTTTATAAAGCCCATTTCGATGAACCAATTCGCGCCCTTTGCGGGTCAGCGCTACTGGCTATTTTTCTCTTTTCGGATCCTTTTAGATCAATGACGATCATCGATTATGGTTCTATAAATAGTGGCAGTGTTTCTAAATAATTTTTCACTGAAAACTATACAAAATTTTATTAAAAAACGTCAAAAATCCCAGTTTTTCGTCCAAAAATGCCTAATTTTTTGAAAACTTATTAGATATTTTCTATTTGAAATATAGTTATTTTTTTTGCTAAAACCGCTATTGTTATATGAATTTACTAGATTTCTAGACTTAGCTCGGTCCCCCGCCCCCGATAATGCGAAAGAACCGATCTTCGCATTCGACTGCCAACTAATGTTCACGGCCCGATTGCTGAAGTAGTATCGCTACTCCTAGTGCATTTTTTACTAGTTAATTATGGGCCATTCGCTGGTTTTGACGAAAAAATGGAGGTTTCTCCCGGGGCAGTAAAACCTGTGACTACCTCGGTAAAAAAATAAACTGGGGCAGTAAATTTTTAGCGGGGGTAGTAAAAAGCTTACTAGGGGTAGTAAGCTCGCTAACTACCCCAGTAAAATTTCGAAATTTGGTACCACCCCTGGTGAGTATCACGAGGTATTGAGGCGCTGTTAAACTACGCTCTTCCTACGGCAGACAATTATATACTGCGGTCGGGTTTTTGGCCGCCAGACGGTTAACGAGAACGAAAAGTATGTCCGGGTTTTTGGTAGGTTCCTGTTTTCACCCAGGGAGTGCTGATTCGCGAATTAAGAATTTGAGAATAAGGGAAAAAGGCTTTGGAATTTGCCGAAACTAGGATATTTTGGGCGGTTTTCGCGCTTAAAAACATTCATAATATTTTGCATATGATCGCTTCGCAGGTTCTGAAAGTTGTTTCGGAATCAGCGCAAAATTTCGCATCAGAAGCTCGGTCCCGTCTAGAAATTCGATTGTCACTAAAAAAATATCAGCATGTAAGAGGTGAAAATTGTGGAGCTGAACGTAGGTCAACAACAGTTAATAATAGAAAAGGTTTCAAGTTTTTGGAACACTGCAGGAGCCGTTTTTCAGGCTAAATTATTGATTTATCGAGGTCAAATATTCAATTTCAGAAATGACTGCGGCCGGCTAGATGGGGGTGATGTTTTGGCCACCCTGTAGTGTGGCGAAATAGAAACAACAACATAAACGGGCCAGGTGCCTTTGCGCATGCTTTTTCCGCGATCATTGCTGTCTTGTCCAAGTTCATAATCTTATCGACCCCCGAGATACTCCGAGATACACCTGCTCTCCGTGAAACCCTTTGACAGGCCTGTATTTTCGTGACATCGATTTTCAAAAGGTCTCCGCGCCTACAATGTTTTTACCCTCGCCCGAGGGCGAGGCCTGGATAATCCGCTTCTACTACCTTTTTTGGTGTCTCGGTTTTGTGTCATTCAGTCTGGCTATATTTTTCGTTACGAATCGCAAGACGTCAGTCACACGTGGCTATAAAATTGCGCAATTAAACTTATTGGTATGCTGTTATTCCTATCGTAACTGATTCACAGATCGCCGCCGAGTTGACAGATACCACAGTGTCTTTTTCAAAGCCTATAGTCTACGCGCCGTATCCAGCCGTAAAGTTGGCGAGTATATTTCGAGTGGACTACATTCAATTTCACGTCATTTCGGTATCTTACCTTACCAGTAGTTCACCTTTATAGATTATCTATGGTATATTTATATTTCATACGATTTGCGCACTTCTTTACACCGGGCTGCTGAAAACGGAAAAGTCGACGCGTGGTAGTCGTATCTATTATATTGCGGCACGATGGTATATCGGTTTCCTTTATTTTGCGGCGATTATTGGAGAAATTTGTGCGGTTTGCGTGTTCTACCATGAGGGGTTTACGATTAATGATGCTGACGTGGTAAGGGCACATACAGTAAGAGTTTACTTTACCCCCTCTTCCCACACCACTCACAAGGAGTGCCCTTTTAGTGTCATCGGCAAAACCTTTTGAGACCTAGCTCATTCGATAGAGAATTGAATTCTGAACAAGCTCCCGGTGTTCATTTTTGCGGAATGGCTGTCTCCGATTTTATAAAATTAAAAAACTAAAAACAGCATTTTTGGACCTCGATGCTCGCGCCACCCCCAAAATGGCCGCCGGGGGGAAGAGCCGCTCTGGCCTCTCCACACCACCAGTAAGCGTGGCGCAGTGGCTAACACCACGGCCTACCAAATTATTTTTGCGATTCAGGCAAAAGTTCGAAACTCACATCAACAATTCTTTTGCTCTTTGAATTTCGATTGCGCTGGGTTCATAGGTCAACGTCCGTTTTATTTAAAGCAGAGATAATCGAACAGTCCTTTGTGAAAAAGCCTTTGTTTTTGAAAACCACGCGCTAAATCAGAATCTAGTTGGTGCAAACCAGTTTCTCAAAAATGCACATGAAACGGCCACAGGGGGTTTCAAGCGTAACCTTATTCAAAAAGCAAAAAGAATTGTTGATGTGAGTTTCGAACAGTTTCGAACAGCCATTCCGCAAAAATGAACAACGGGAGCTTGTTCAGAATTCAATTCTCTATCGAATGAGCTAGGTCGCAAAAGGTTTTGCCGATGACACTAAAAGGGCACTCCTTGTCAGCCGAAAGGTCTTAAAGTCGCACATAAATTATTCGATTTGCTATCATAATTGCGAAAATTCTTTTGATAATTCTTTCGATTTACTACTGAAATAATTCTGACGGTTAGAATTATAAACTTCATTTAAATTTGGACAGTTAGAAGAATAAGATTGAGATTTCGACATTATGAAGTTCAACTTTATCAATTCGACATTCTGAAAGTAACTCCTACTATAAAACCATTCACAGATATGTGCACTGGAGAAAAAACTATGTGGGCTGCAAGATATCTTGCTGCTCACCAACTCTAACACGATTACAATATTGTTACGCCTCGTTGCGATCTTCATCGTTATCACCATGATTTTCTACCTCCACCTTTGCTATACAAACATCGATCATTACTTTTCGGCCTACGCGAATCCGAGCCTCAGCCGGCGCACCCAACAGATGCATCGATATTTTTGCATGATGTTTCTATTTCAGGTCTTTGGTCGAAAATTCACCCATTAACAATAGCGTTTACAGTCTTTCACCGCGGGTTCGTCGCTGGCACTCCCTTTGATTCTACTAACCCTGACTTTCCTTGGCTTGCTGACGTGGGAGCCGATAATTTATGGTCAGACTTATAATCCAGAGTTTCAAATTCTGATCAAATCCCATGTTTTCAAGATTTTAGAACGTTGCCGATTTTGCAGACTAAGCTTTCGCAGTGTTAAATTTATCAAGGTGGCCAAAAATAGGAAAATTCAGCGCTTTTAGAGAAACGTTCTCCAAGGCCCTAGTCGTTCGCCAGTTTTTGCAGAAAGAAAGTTTTTTTGAGGAGTTCAAGCTCTAGGGAATGAGCTAATGCACATCGAACGGCGCCGAAAGCCCCTGAAAGCATCTGCTTTTTAGCCGTGGGACTCTGTACGCTTTGGATCGGACTTCACTCACTTGGGAATAGCTTGACGATATTATTGGCTACGAGAACGTATCGTCGCGAAATGTGGCATTGGATGCAGCGGATATATTGGGTACTTTAGAGGTTATTAAAGGGATACCCAACCTTTTCGGGGCTCAAAAAGCAAAATACATGCCGCGGGCGGGGGTCAAACCCGGGACCCTCGTTTTGTAGGCCTGGATGCTATCCATTAGGCCATAGTGGCAAGCCATCGGGTGGAATGGGGACGCCACAAGAGGGAAAGGTGTCCGAATTCTGTGCGGCACAGGCGCCTCATTGCCGCACAAAATTCCCGCGTCATTTGTACTGCCCGGAATACATAGCTATATATTTGCCACCAAAACTTGGGTGTCCCTTTAAATGAGATTTTGAGATTCAGAAACTAAACCCGTTTGCCGTGGCTGTCCATGCTATCAAGACGCCGTCAACCATAAGGACCGTATCCAAATTTCCGCAGACTCTCACCCAAACTCGATAAGGTGCTAATAAATCTAATCTGGGATTTTTTCTAGTTTTTCTCACGTTTAATATTCGACCAAAGTTAATGATAGTCCCAAGATTATATGCAAATTAAGGATCGAGAGATGTTTTATGTCTCAAGCCGTCAAATTCCATTTCCGGATTAGCCGCGACGATTCGGTGACCATATGTTTGAGTTTGCTTGTCACTGAGGCTTCGTAGGCGACCTTCGCTGGTCCTGATACGTGTTAATTTTAAAGACAGAAAATTATTTTACCTTCAGCTAAATTGCTCATCAACATTTTTCGCAGATTCAGGAGCATCGGGGTGAATTTGCACGTCATATGGACATAGGAGTGCTCGTAGGTGTCCATGAACTAGAAAATACTACAACTGCAGCGTCTTGTTTTCCAGTTTTTGTACAGATAAAGCGATAAAATATTTAAATAAGGTTCTGCGTAGAAATGTACGGATGGCCTTTTTCCTAAGCGCCAATAAAACATCTAAAATACTTACATCTTGAAAATCTTTCCATGGAAATGGAGCATCACCGCTGTATTCCCGCAGCTTATCGTAGTAATAGTGAAGCTGAGCGGTTTTTCTGAAAAAAATTAAATTAAAACAAGTTTGAATGAAATTTCTTACTTTTTGTCATAATCCTCGGTCGTTTGCGCACAGGCTAACAACCTCACGATGTCTTCATGTGGATTCCCGATCCGGCTGACCTTAAAAAACGATACCTTCGGTCTATTGAAAGGTTAAGCTACCTGCCAATCGATTAGGGAAACCATAGTATAGTCCCCATTTTCTTCTTTTCGCCACAGCATATTACCCAGCCATAGGTCGCCATGGATGAAGATACGGTGATGGTGGCCTAAAAATATGAAAAAAATATTGCTTTTTGATGGTTCGGAATTTGTTAAAGAAAACTGTATCGGTCTTTTGAACGTCAAAAATCCTTTGCAAACGTCACTTAATAACTTACAGGCAGCAAAAACCTTTTCCTGATACCCCTCCCAGGATTCGAACATTTTGGTGACGGCCCTCAATTCCTCTAACTCCTCCTTGATATCCGGAAACTCTTCAGCAACTGCGTCTAGGATCTTGCTCAGAGCCTAAAAATCTGTTTTTAAAAGTTATTAAAAATTATGCAAGATTTTCGAGGCACCACTCACCTCGAATGTCAAAAACTCGGCCATCATCGTCTTGTGGTTATCCCCGGTGATCTCTGCGTACAGCTCCGGGTATCGAATGGCTAAAAAGTTCTAATTGATAATTTTTGAATTATTTAAGCCTGAAACGGCTTCGATAGTTAGATTTTATCACTTACAATGCCCATTAACAATTGACAGCTGCTCGAGAACATCGAGAATTGCGGATTCTTGAATTTCATGGTACAAATGTCTTGTCACAACGTCGTTGAAGTGTTCGATGGCAAAGTAACCTAATTTGATACTGATTTAAGCTATTGATCAAATACCTGCATCAAGTCCATCAACACCTAATTTCCGGCCACAATAAAACTTCGGAATCCGGAGTTCTGCCGGGTAACGCCACTTATCGCGCGCATTTTCAAAAAAGTACAACTCGTTGTCGTTGGCCTGAAGCATTGTAGGTATAAAAGTGGTCGTATTTTTAATAGTATAGTTAAAGGGGCTACGAAATGCCAAAAATTGAGTGACGGCCCGAAAATCGGAGCCCTGTACGTCAGAGGCTTCTGTACACCCAGGGGCCCGGGAAGCTCGCAAATTTGAAATTGCCTGTTGTCACCTCGAAATCACGTTCTCGGCTGTTTCTGGGCCAAATTTGAAGCTTAAAACGCCAAAACTATTTAAAATTAAGTGAGGATTTCAAAAATGGGCTCAGAATGCGCAAATTATAGTGTTTTCACAAAGAAACCGGGCAAAAACAACTTCGCGCAAAAATCGAAAGGGTGAGGGCTCTCGTCCCGCAGCGCCCGCTGGCAATTTGCCAGAAATCAAAAAGGCCTCCCAAAAGGGCTTTGATTTGGCAGTTCGGAGCCTCTTTAATAAACATTTTATGAATGTTTTATAGCCTCAAGGGCAAGAAAGAAAGCTTACAGCTCTTGCATTTTCCACAGCATCGTCTAGATTCACCCCAGGGCTGCTGCCGATCGCAGCCAATCGGTTGGAATTTGTAATCTAAACTTTTGTTTTTAAAAAATATAAAAATAGTATGAATTATTAAAAATACCTTAATACAAGCCTTTTCGGGAAGGCCAACGGAATCTCCTTGCCAATCAAACGTCGCCAAGAAAATCTCGGAAATGCAGCCCTAAATCAGAAAAATAAAACATTTAAACCCTCTAACCTTTTAAAAACTAAACTTACATTTCCTTCTCCAATTCGCTGCCATCTTCGATTAGGGCCTATTTTGGCAGTGGAGTTGAACACGGCTTGGAAATCTTTCTAAAAATTGATATTTTCGTTATTTTACAATCTTCCATTGGCCTTGAAGGTATACCTTTTAAAATCATGGTTTCTAAAGTGCATAAAAATAAAGGAAAATTTACTTTAAGTATATCCCACGTAATCGACGACCCGCCAATTGCTTCTGGGTTTAGATCGGCCATTCTAAAAGTTTATCGGCTTCTCGGTCAAATTTGCTGTATTCTTGATGTTCGAACAAATATTAATTAATTGAAAAGCGGGAAAATTGTAAATTGAATTTGCTTGATATTTTCTACTAAAAAAGAAAGAAGTTAATTTAAACGGCAAGTTAGTTATAAAGGCTAGTCGGCGTAACGGGGGCACAAAATGGCACAGACGCGCGCTTTTTTTGTACCCCCGTGTTTTCCGATTGCACAACATTTCCCAACACAGCTCTTTTCGCTCGACCAGACAGGGATCATTTTTCCACGCGATCAGCCAGCCAGCTTTGATCGACCGTGAAAAAGAGCGTTACGTGCAAAACCTAAAAACTTAAAAAATACAACCACCTCGGACATCAGCTTACCAAACGTAACAATATGGAAATTAAGATAAAAAATTTAAAATGTTTAAGACAATAAATAAAAATTTATTCTTTATTTTCTTTATTTGGCTTGGTGGGACTGAATCGCTTATCAATTCTGGCAGATGTGTCGGCGGCGAATTTTTTATCAGGAATGCTTTCAAAATGCACACTAATGCGAAGCGGGATGACCACGCCGTCTGGTGATTTCCAGGAAGCCAGACTTCCGTCGTTCTAAAACCTAAAATCCGTCTCAGCAACCGTAGTTATTGCAGATCCGACCTATAATCACTTTTTAATAAACGACTTAAAATCGCCGGAAACATGAGGGAAAAATTTTTAGGGCCATTTTCTTGTATTTTTTACATTTTTCTGCCCACATACTTCCATCCATACGTCATTATTTATTCCTGGACATCCAACGGGACCCATTTTCCTGAAAAATGTCCTCCCATTCAACTGCTAGAATATAAGCACTCGAAAATCTCGACAAGCGTCCTCGTCGTCATGTGCTACTCCTCCCCCAAAAGCGCATCCCCACCCCAGGGTTCTTCCGATTCTTGGGAGGAATTCATTATACTCAACCAAGGTTCCTCCCTATCCTAGTCCCGGCCTATTTTCAGAATCAGAATCCTTTTCCTCGTTGACCCTCGCATTCATCACGCGCGGCTTATTTTTCCCGCCTAGGGGCGCCGGGGCTCACTTTTAATCCCGGCGTAATGTAGCGTTTTCTGGGGTTCTTGACCCGCCTGGAGGACAGTGTTTGTTTTGCCCAGATGACGCGATCCGGCTTCTGATTTTGCGTAGGCGTTCTTTACCTTTAAGCGATTTTTGGGACAAAATCTTTTTAAAAAAAGCAAAGGTCTCAAATTCAACTTTCCCTCGCGGAAGTAATTTTTCATATAGAATCGCGCTCAGATACAACGAAACGGTTTGGATATCTCCAAATTTTGGAAACTCTGCGAATCGCTTACAGTAAATTTACGGAACTACAATTTTGTGTAGCAAACGAAGTTTGTATGGCGCGTCCGTTTGAGTAATTTCAATGAAAGCTAGTTTTAGGGTTGGGTAAAATTGAAAAAAGGTAAATTTACGATGTCAACCGCTTCATAGTTGAAATCGTAGGCTTACGCTAAAGCAAAAAAATTAAAATTCCCACCCAATCCTGCAAATGCAGTCACATGCGCAACCTATGCTTTTTCCTATTGCTTGCAACCCGTTTCGATAGGCTGACGTGGCAGTGTGTTGGGTGCGAAGAATTAGCGAAGCGAACGGGATGGTGAATGTTCAAGCCTCCATGAATGCTAAAGATCGCGCGTTCCCTGCGGTTCCCTGGGGGCCATTGGCCAGAAGCAGGCCCGGGGCGCAAAAACGGCTGGAACATAAATTTCAAGTAATTTTTCTTCCTCTCCCGCGGAGCCGGAGGGGTCCGAGGACCCAATGTGCCCTTCTGGCCCGCAAAAATAGCCTAATCTTGGCGCGATGGGTTAACCTTTTTGGGGTTGTACTTCCTTCTCTATTTTTCTACGAATTTCTATTGATTAAACTTACAATTCAAAATTTAAAATAGAGTTTCAGTTTTGTTGGCAATACTTTTTTCGGGTAGTGTTAATCCTTGCGTTCTTTTTAGCGAAAAACTATTTTTGTGATTGTTTTTGTGAAAAGAATCGCATAGCTATTCTTGATTTTTCTAATAATTACATACTATTTGCCTATCCTTTAAAGTTATCTATTCTTTTTTAGTAATTATGAAGCTCAGCCTCCTGCTCATCTGCTTGGCCTCCATCATTTTCATGGCACTACCGGCCAAGGGGATGGTCGGCGGATTTGGAAGTAAGTATTTTAGCGAAAACCTCTTAATTTCTACCTTTCCAAAGCTATCTAACTGAATCACACATTCTAAAATAGTCTAACACGAAAATAATCTTAAAAATACCTGACAACCTGCCATTTAGCTTTCCTCCGCCGCCCGCGCTACTACAACTACGCGCCAAGCCGCTACTACGCCTCGAAGTATGGCTTTGGAAGAGGGCGTGGATAAAAGCTGCATCAGAGACAATCGGGATTCTGTTGGCAATAAAGATGTTATTCCGGTTATGTGACCATTCTATCTATCATCCTTCTATTCCCGAATCGATTTTGCCTGATAAAACGTAGTTTTTTTTCTGGCCGAATTAATTTAATGCGGTTCCTTTAAAACAATTTATTCTCAGCCGTGATTTGTTAACGTGCGGGATTGACCAGCACCTCACAAACCCCAGGATTCCCCTCTGTATATCCGACGCACTCCCCTCCAACGTGCCTGCAGTCCGCGTCGTCGACGCACTGCCATGGGTCCAGTTCCTGGAATTGTCAAGTCCCAGAAAGCTTCACCTAGTCGACCCCCCAATCCATGAATGCTGCCTAATAACCAGATACTTCCTCAACTCCACTGCTCCGCATGTTCTTTAGACCTTTTTGGACGTGAAAACACGTGAATTTCGAAGCTCTGACAAACATTGAATCCATCCCGCCCTTTCCATTATAAAGATTGAGCAGAGAATTGACGGGAGTCATCAATGGGGATGAAGGTTTCGCACCAAAATAAATTTGATGGTACTTTTCGGCAGCAACTCTTGTGTGTTTCGGCCGGTTCACACAAAAAATCGCCACGCACCAAAATTTCGGCTTCGTGGCCCTTTAAACGTCGAAAAATCCAGCATGAGCCTTACCCCGCAGAACTTGAGCAGCACGGGGAGAATTCTTAATTTACAAATCTCGTTCTGTGCCCCCAATCTTTGGCGTCGGCACTCAGCATCTCGGACACAGGTATGGGACTGCTGCAATAAATTTCGACGTATCCAGATTAAACTTTTAGGTAAGAGTTTACTTTACCCGCCCCTCCCCCCCACAGCCGAAGGGTCTCAAAGTTTTCGGTATTTTCGCTTATTTTGTCGGGATTTTTGCAACGCCATTCGATAGAGCGTCGAAAAATATGCAAAGAGTTTTAATTTGAGCCTACAATAATGTAAAATAGAAAAGTTATAGCCAAAAACTTCCGGCTGGGGGGGGGGGGGGGTAAAGTAAACCGTAGCCTTTTACTCACAAAATCTGTTAAAGCGACGACACCGGCCAGGAAGACAGGCAAGAGTAGTAACGAAATCTTCATGCCCAAAAATGGGCAAGCCACGGCATTCTTAGGCCTTTTCTTCCGGGGACTGCTTCATTTTGCAAGCGGAGCATTTCACAGGCCACTGTCGGCAACGATGCTCATCGGACCTTAATAAAGCCACTCTATGCTTACTGATCAACTCCAACAAGGTGTTTTTTGGGGGCTGTCGGTAGGCCACTTGCAAAGGAATATTTTATTGAAGTGCTATGATTTTTTCGAATTCCTGTTACACCAGGACCGCCGCAGCAGACATTGCCGGGTACAATTTTTACATGTGTCGTGTATTAGTACTTTGATGTACAATATTTAGCCCATTTATCGTTCCAAATATGATTCCTCATCGCCTGGCATTCGCGAATTACCTACAATTTCCGGGGTCTTCCTCGGAATATCCGCGGCACGTCCCACCAAACGACCAAACGACGCACCCCGCACAATTTCATCATGGGGAGAATCTGCAATTTGCAGACTCGATTCTTGCTCTCCGAACCGCGACGTCCACAATCCGCATCGCGAAAGCAGTGTTCGAAATCCTGAATTTGGATCGGGGTTCATTAAGTTGATCTTTTCCATCCAAGAGCGGCGGCCCCAGCCAGAAATGTCAGCAGCAGAACAAGCGGAACTTTCATCTTTGAATTGGAAATGTGGGTTCCAACGCGTCTGCCGCGCCCTTTTCTCTTGGAAACTGCTTCATTTTGCACGCAAAGCATTATTTGATCGCTGTCCCTTACTTCTTCCAAGTCAATGATTCGTACAACAAGGCCGACTGAGGAAGTTGGGACATTGCCGAATGTTGTCTATCCCAAAAAAAACGGCTAGACTTTATTTTACCCCCCTCCCCCAGCAGGAATTTCTAGAATGTTTTCGATATTTCCGCTTTGTCGTGTTTTTCAATACGCCATTCGATAGAGCACGAAAAAATATACTAAAATTTTTAATGACCGCCCAAAATAATGGTATATAAAAAAGTTATAGCAAAAAAATTTTGGGACTCCGGCTGCGGCGGGAGGGGGGAGCAAAGTCTAGCCCAGAAAACTTCCGGTCGACAAGCGAGGGCCAAAGCCGATAACAAATTTACTTTGAAAACCCCTTAAAATCTTTAAAGACTGTGAATTATTTATTATAAAAATATTTTGTTGTTTTTTGAGCATCATGTTAAGATTTATTGAGTTCGACCCAAAACGCCTGATCATGGTGCCACCAGACCCACGCAAATACCAGGTTTTCCCTCCGAATAGGTGATACATCTCGTCCCATACCGCTTGCAGTCGTCGGCGGCTAAGCAACGACCTGGGTGTACTTCCTTAAAATTTACAAGAATTTGAAGCAAAATGCGACCAAAATAAGAGAGATTTTTTTATTATGGTTGATTGTTCAACAGAATTTTACCGCGCAGTGGCTGCCGGCCCGCCACTTATCACAATACATACGTCTGCCTGATGGTCCAGGACCTTGGCAGTCGGCGTCTTGGTTGCAAATCTAGATTGATTTCGCTAAAAATTAGCAATTCCAGTTTCTACAAATAACATGGCGCTATCCTTTTGAGATACAGGGTGTCCCAAACAAATCGGCTCCCCCTCTAGCATTCCGGAGAAAAGTCGGATCTGCATGATTCTTTCACCATTCGAAAGCTTTCGGAAAGGCGAGCAAGCAAGCGCTTTTGGTCTTACAAAATTTTTAGCCCGCCCTCGACATTCAACGATTTCTTAAAAGAATCAAATCAGCCTCGGTCTGTGTGCTTTAGCAAGCAAGTAACATGCTGGTTTTGCATAAAATCTGCAGTTTTGATGGATTTTGGTGGTAAATTTAGTGAATTCAAATGAACGTATTGACAAACAAACAAACAGTGCGTGTTTACTCGCTTTTTCGAGAGCTTTCGATAGATACCTAAATCGTCACAATCGGACCTGACTGCGGCCCAGTAGGGGAGGTCGATTTTTTGGGACACTCTGTATACTGTATCAAAGCTACCTTCCCAACAGCTTGCACATGGACAACAACGGCGAGAAGACCCAGGAAAAAGAGCAGCGAACGCTTCATTCATGCGAGGTATTTTGAAATCCGGTCCCCTTTTCGAGACCTTTGGCCAGACCGTGCCTCATTTTGTAAGCATAACATCTATCCGGGGGTATAAGTTTGTTTTGTAAGTCTAATGCGAGAAACCAGGCGAAAGTCCAAAGTTATCGGCTTTGAGTCATCGTACTGTGGGCCCCGTAGAAGCTTGATCGGCCTAGCTGATTCGATGAGGGCGCATCTATAGAGGGTGTCCCAAAAAAAACGCCCCTCCGGCATTTCGCCGTCTTCCATCCAATCGGTCCCAAAATTGGACGAGACGTGTATCAGACCTTAAATAATCACAATCCTGACTTATAGCCCCGAAGCTATAGTAGTTCTCGAGTTAGAACAAAAATAAACTTTATTTTCCATTTTTCATAGGATTTCAGTGGAATTAGACCCCCTAAACAGTAAGTGAATATGATTCTGTAGGCCTTCTTTACGCTAAGGATTTTTACGGGCTAAACTAAGCTTGGATTTAAGCGATTTCTGCGACGCAAAATTACCCAAGTTCTTCAACGAAATTAGGAATTCGCAGCCAGAAGTCTATGCAAATCGATGCAAAGTCCAGAAGTTGGCCGAAAAAACTGTTTAGAATTTCGGAAAAAACAGTATTTTTATTATAACTCGAAAACTACTCAAGCTATGGGGCTAAAAATCGGGATTTTTATGCTATTTACGGTTTGTTACGCTTCTCTCCAATTTTGGGACCAATTTGATCTAAGATGGCGAAGTACCAGATGGTTCATTTTTTGTGGGGGCACCCTGTAGAGGACCGTCGACTTGCGGTCGCATCGTGCTTCGCTGGTGTTTCAATTTTTGGTGTTAAACGGGCACGGATAAGCGGGTAAAGGTCGCTTAACGGGCGGATATAGCGGGGGTGGAAACCATTTTCCCCTATAGGTACCTGATCGTGCCAATTCTAGCATGCCATCGTATAGAGCGTCCAAAAATCTACTAATTTCGGCCAGAAATAATGTAGTTAAAATTCGTTATTATGGACCGTCCATGAAGTATGACCATAGGGCCATCGTAATTTTTGGTATTTTTGGCTGTTTTAACGGGACTTCATGGATGCCATCGGATAGCGCGTCGAAAGGTAGCCTATTTGAATTGTATCCCGTCGAAAATTATATTACGATGTGCGTTCAATCATTTATTATGGCCAATGGGTGCAATCTGCGAGCTCACAAGCACATCCCGGGTTTCCCCTCCTCACGTAGGAGACATTTACCCAAATGCGGAGGGCAGTCGTCCTTGTTCACGCACCGGCCGCTTTCTAGTAGCTAAAAGAAAGCAAATTTTGAAATGGCATCACGGTTAAAGGGGCACCGAACTGCCAAATCAAAGCCCTTTTGGGAGGCCTCTTTGATTTCTGGCAAATTGCCAGCGGGCGCTGCGGGACGAGAGCCTTCGCTCTTTCGATTTTTGCGCGAAGTCGTTTTTGCCCGGTTTCTTTGAGAAAACACTATAATTCGCCCATTCTGAGCCCATTTTTGAAATCCTCACTCAATTTTAAATAGTTTTATCTTTTAAATAGTTTAAATAGTAATCATGAAATTTGGCCCAGAAACAGCCGAGAACGCGATTTCGAGGTGACAACAGGCCATTTCAAATTTGCGAGCTTCCCGCGACCCTACGTGTGAAGAGGCCTCCGACGTACAGGGCTCCGATTTACGGGCCGTCACTCAATTTTTGGCATTGCGTAGCCCCTTTAAAAACCGCTTCGCGGCTTTTCAACCCTGGCCCCGTCTAGCGCCCCAGACAATATTCACTTTACATATTGGCTCCCGAATCCCCGTAAGAAAATATGAAAATAACTTTCGCTTGCCCCTTATATAGGCTCTCCCCACTTCCAGCGCATGCAAATTGACTCCTAACAAAGAGGTGTTTCGGTATTTTTTACCAAAACCTTAATTTTGATGACTAAAACATCCGATTTTCATAAATCCGACACGTATGCACTCATCTCGGGACCTTTACGCACCTAATGACGTATCAAACATACTATAAAATTCTTCCCCTGAGGCGCCAGGTGTCGGACATACTTACGGAAGCTGCATGCAAATATATACACGCACAAACACTATTTTTTTTAGATTTACATAGTTAGATATGGCCGGTCCAAAATAAATCAGCTAACAAATCCTGCAGATTGACTGGTGAAAGTAAAAACAAAGTAAGAAACTAAATTACCTCGCAGCGCCCCTCGAGAGTCTGGCCATTTTGTTCACAGTAATTTCCCTTCGGGCAGCGGCGGTCGGTCTTGCACGACTGGAAAGCGTTGAATGTTTATGTGAAAATCAAGGCGCAAGAAAAATGAGATTCTCACATCCACAGCAACAGCAAGGACCGCCAGTAGCAACAGAACCCAGAATTTCATCTTCGGATTTGTGAAGTCGAACGCCCCGCGCCGCTTTTTCTGCCAGGCCCCGCTTGATTTTGCAAGCAAATGATTTGTCGGGAGGGCCTTCCTTCATGCAAGTCAACGATCCTTACGGATTGACAAAACTGGGGGCGAGCGGCCGAAAAGTATGTACGAATAGCCAATAGGGAGGACGGATCAAACAGAATTTATCAGATTCAAAGCTGCAGGTGGGCGACAGGCAAGAGCGGTAATAAAAGTTCAATAAAAAAGCCAATGGCAAAACGTTTTAGCAAGAAAATCATAGAGGCGGATCCTTGTTTTTCCGCGGGCACCGGATACGCGATTTTCGCGGCTTGTTTGTTTTTGCCTTCTTACGCAAGGATACGCGACGTTAAGCTGCTTTATGTCTGTCCTGTCGTATCCACCAGGATTGTCGATAGCGATTTTCACGCCGCGTGGTTTTTTCCTTGATGTTATTTTTACAGATACACCCAGCGTTCAACCATTTATTAGTGTCAACGGCTTCAAGAATGAGGCTCAGAAGCAAGTCCCGGACTGCCCTTCACGACCTCGGTAGCAGCTACTAGAGTGATCAGGGCAGTCGTCATGACTACTTGGACCTGTGGTATAGTGGATAGCGCGTCGGACCGTGGAGCGAAGCATCGCGGGGTCGATCCCCACCCGGCGCGCGACTTTTAGGCTTTTATCGAAATTGATCGTTCTGACGGTTTTACTGTTTTTACAACAAAAATGCAATTGGCATGCGACCACCAAAAATCTCAGAGCTTACAGACCGTAGGGTTTTTAGTGGTTAATGCTTGTCCCGTGCGCGCTCATCTGTCTTTCGTTTTTCCCGGATGCACGTTGTCTTCCATTTATTATTGGCAACAGCTTCAACCTTCATGCTCACAAGCAATAACCGGGCCTCCCCTTGGTAGCTCTCACGCACATAACAGCGGACCCAGGGCAGTCGTCATGCCTCGCGCAATGGCCAATTGCCAGTAACTGAAAGTTTGCAGTTTTTCAATACACGTCTGCTTACAGGCTCTTTTATATGGAACCTTGACCATGGCCTACAGATGACACTACAGAAACAACCTACGCAATTGACTCACCTCGCAATGCCCCGAGAACTCCTTGCCATACCATGTACAGTACCTTCCTTTGGGGCAGTTGTCGTTGCTCCGGCAAGGCTGCAAAGCGTTTGAAGGAAGGGGAACAGGGAATTGCGGCTCGAAACGGCTGCGATTCCTACCTCGTTGGCGATTTTGGCATCAGCAACCAATGCGCACAGCAGCAGCAGTACCCAAAATTTCATCGTCGAGGTGGTGAAGTCGAACGTCTTTCCGACGCTTTTTCTACCAGGCACACCTTCATTTTGCAAGCGAAAGATTTGTTGGCAGGAGCTTCCTTTTTGCAAGTCAACGAGACAAGTCCTTTTTTGCGGGCCACTGCTTCATTTTGCAAATCAGAAGTGCAGGGGCTCCACCCCTTTTTCGAAAAGAAACGGTGCGGATATTTTCGAAAGTCGGAATTAAAATCGGAAATCACTAACGTTTTTTGCCAATATAAAGTAGTTTTTAGGATATGCGGACAGAGGCCCGACAAACGATACACCATTCGATGTAGAATTTTCGTGAGCATTTTCTACATCTGGAAACAGCATACGACCGTTTTGTGTGGACGAAGCCCTCAAGCAACGATACGCAAAGCTACGCCTGGTCATCTTTGTGTGTGATTTACACCAGGATCGATCGCCGAGAGAGTTGTTTGTCCCGCGTGCAGTCACTGTGTTCTTATTTTCCCCGGATCCACTTGCCTTCAGTAATTTATTACTGGCAACAGCTTTAATCTTCATGCTCACAAGCAATAACCGGGCTCCCCCACGGCAACTCCGACGCACATAACAGCGGACGGAGCGCAATCATCGCGCCCGCCGGTTAGTTGCCAGTTTCTGAAAGACCGAACTTTTTTAATAAAGATAAGACCGGATCTTTTCTATGGAACCCTGACAACTGCCTCACAGGGGACTACCGCACGACCTAGTAAGTGAATTACCTCGCAATGTCCCCGAAACTCCCAGCCGTACCATCTACAGTACTTTTCCTTGGGGCAGGCGTCGTGGTCCATGCAAGGCTGCAAGACGGTTGAATTGAAGGAATGGGGAAATTGTTGCGTAAGTAGCAGCCTGATTCTTACTTCGCTGGCAATTGCGGCATCAACAACAAGGACACCCAGCAGCAGCAGTACCCAAAATTTCATCCTCGAAGTGATGAAGTCGAACCCCTTTCGGCGCTTTTTCTACCAGGGTCGCTTCATCTTGCAAGCAAAGAATTTGTTGGGGAACGCTTCCTTTTTGCGCGTCGGCGATCAGCATTGGTCGATAGAGCTGGGAGGTCTCTGGCCCAACCAAAAATGTATACTAGGCTGGATGTAGACGAAAGGCTGCAACCGTTTATAAAGTTCGGATTTTGTCAGGATGTATACAGGGTGTTCAACAGGGGTTGACAACGGGCCGGGCCTCACGGCGCGGCCCGCGGCCCGGGCCGGGCCGGGCCGAAGGTCTGGCGGGCCCGGGCCGGGCCCGGGCCTGGATTTCGAGATCCGGACCGGGCCGGGCCGGGCCCGAATTTTTGTGCCGGGCCCGTCGGGCCCGGATCGGGCCCGATTTTGATGATTTTTAGGCAATTTTTGCGAATTTTTGGCCAAAAATCGTAATTTTTTTTTCAATTTTTTCGAAATTTTTCCAAACTTTTCCAACTTTTTTGTTAGATTTTGGCTTATAACCCTATTTTCAAATTTTTTTTGTTCCGGGATTTACAGGCTAGGTTCCTAGGGCCTGTTTTCCTGATTTTTTTTTTGCCTGAATGGACTAGAAGACACTCCTTGCATGATTTCTAACAGGATTTCGTTTATCCAAAGGTTCGCTGAACACCATAGTTCTATATTTCACCAAAAAAAACGATACAATGCATCTACAAAACCGCCAATAATGGTTATCCGAGCTTTACCATTGGCCGGATCCGACATTTTTGTATTTTTAAAATACAGTTTCTAATGTTTTTATGTTTATTAATAGTTAGAAAATAAGAATAGTTGATAGTTATTAGTTGTCTATCTTAGATAGTATGATAGATGGTTATTTTATACTTAGATTAAAAAACTTGAGTCTTAGTGGAAAATTTTGACCCCCGCTCTGACCCTGGCCCGCGGGCCGGGCCGGGCCTTGGATTTTGGCTTTCGGGCCGGGCCGGGCCGGGCCTGGGGTCGGCTGGGCCCGGCTTCCGGGCCTCGGCCCGGCCCGGCCCGGCCCGTTGTCAAGGCCTGGTGTTCAAATAAAAACGCCCACCTCTAACTCGATGCATAATTAACGAATCGGCATTCCAGTTACCGTCTTCCATAGCCTAGACAAAAACACAATTTTAACAGACTTCCTGTTTTCCAGGACATTTAAGACTTTCCTCATACTGAATCGAAAAGCCGCGTAGAGGACATTATTACGATCCATCTGGGAGGAGCCGGCGGGTCGCGTGTCGCGTTCCGTATCGTGCCGCGTGCCGGGATGCGTCTTGCGCTATTATCGTGCCGCTTGCCGGGATGCGTCTTGCGCTATTATCGTGCCGCGTGCCGGGATGCGTCTTGCGCTACATATCGCGCTGAGTGTCGGGATGCGTCTTGCGCTACATATCGCGCTGAGTGTCGGGATGCGTCTTGCGCTACATATCGCGCTGAGTGTCGGGATGCGTCTTGCGCTACATATCGCGCTGAGTGTCGGGATGCGTCTTGCGCCACCTATGGCGGTGCGTATCACACTTCGTGTCGCGCTGCGTATCGCGCTTGAATGTTGCGCTATCTGTCGCGCTGCGTGTTGCCTTACCTGTCGAGAGCGTTATGGCCAACAACATATGCAACTTCCTTTTACGGAATTTAATAAACGCAATCGGGTTTCAATTTTTTCAGGTCCATTGATCCCTGGAAGGGAGCGGTACAACTAATCCGTAAGCCAGGTTCAAAAATCATATCATAATTTATTCACTGTCGACAGAATTTTTGGCGCCAGAATTTATCACGGCACCCGCCGGGCTTCCCTTCCTCATACCCACGACATTCGAGGTTCGAGTCGTAGGCGCAGTCGCTGTCATCGACACAAGTTGCCGGTTCGAGCAACTGAAAATCGATTTCTATTCAAAATTTGTGAATCTTATTTAAAATAACATTAATTCATAAAGCCAAACTGATTTTAGAAGCCAAAAAATCAATACCGTGCACAGTTTGAACCCTTGTTCCGCGTTGAATTTACAGTGCATGTGCTCTCCCTCAAACTGGTTACGACGGCAATAGTGGTCCTTTACGCATACCTTAAAAAGAATTATAGATACCGATCTTGATTTTTACATAGGTTTCAGTAGCCGCTACAGTAGTCACGAAAGCCAGCAACAGGATGAGACTGGGATTCATGTTTAATGTTACCATTTTTATAGCGTTTTGCTATATAGCACCGCTTTATTATAAAAACAGAAAATCACGAGGTGTGCCGAAAGTGAAATTAAAATTCCAAAATAAATTTAATATTTATACAGTTCCTTTGGGGGACAAATAGTATGCTTTTTGCGTGTTGGAAAAGCCGTAGGATTTGTGAAAGTAAAAAAAATAAGGGTTTGAGGTGGTAGACGAGACAGCTTTTCACGCTCTACCTCACTAGGGTCGCAAAACAATATATACAGTTGTTCGATTCATATTTTAATAACCTTACAATTTTTTTTCTAAAAAAAATGGATAAAAATATTGTTTTCCGACCAAATTTAAAAATTTCGACGTTTTTCAAAGGATTTTAAGTCTATGATTGCACTTAAATATAATTGGATTTTAACAAAGAAAAACTATCAAAATACTTGCAATTACATTGCCAGGCATTTGCAGACTAATACAAAAATGCTTTCCCCCACGATAATACAAAAGCACGAAATTAGACACAGTACCAGGGTTGAAAAGCCGCTTCGCGACTTTTCAACCCTGGCCCCGTTGTAAGCCAATGAAAGTGTGCACTTTGCATAATTCGGCCCCATCGATGCTGAAAAAAGTGAAAAATGCGCTCTCTGCTCATTTATATAGGCTACCCCTACTTCCGGCGTATGCTAATATATTCCTAACAAAGAGGGTCTCGGATTTTTCAACATAAACTAAAATTTAATGTCGAAAATAAGCGATTTTGATAAATCTGATATGCGTGCAGTCATCTCCAGACCATTACGCTCCTAATGACGTATCAAAAAACCCTTAACTACTTTCCTTCTTGAGATACTGCTGGAACAACCTGACGGAAGTTGCATGCAAAGTGGCACACGCACACACACACACAGACACTATTTTTTTATATATAGTAGGATGACTACGACCACCTGAAACTTGGTTCGATTGGAAGCTCATATAAAGGAGTAGTCAGAGTAAGTAGTTGTAGGGTTACGTTTAACAATTCTGGAGTCATTATCTCCTCCAGTAACCCATCGCGTTTGAAAACTATCAAAAGAACAGATCCAAATTCATTTATTGGTCAAAGCGCTTTCTTCATCAGTAGTTTAGCAGGCATACTCCGGGTTTTCCTTCCGAATAATTAATACAGTCGTAGTCAACTTGGTCGGGACAATCCTCGTCGCGAACACAGCTAAGCTCGTGAAGAGGCTGAAAAAAAATGTATTAATTAATCTGCAAATTTAGATTCGAATGTCAATTTCTCAAGAGGAAAGGTTTTTTAGCTCGGCCGGGCATTGCTACAAATGATCGACCATCTTTAGAGGATTAAAAATAACATGAGTCTTGAAAGGTTTTGCCAAAAAGTTTCCCTTAAAGGATATAACAATTGTAAAGTGATTTTAAAGTCTTGAAGTGATTAGTACACGTAATTATAATTCTTTTCTACTTTATAATCATCCATTTCCGCAAAAGGTTCTTGTGACAAAAGCATTTCAAAAAAGGCCCGCGTGAAAAGGGTTGCGGTGTTTATATTTGTAACGGAAAGGCGACTACTATCTACTATCTATTGAAAAAGGTTGATGCCTGGATACAACAACCGTAACTATCGTTGATTAAAAAGGTATCTATCGCAAAAATCAATTACCGTGCATAGCTTGCGACCATTGGATCGTGCTTTGCAAAACATGCGCCGGCTCAGGAACCGGTTACGGCAATATGCGTCGTTGTGGCAATTCTGAAAAGAGCGTAGTTATGACAAAATAGATTTTCGAGGTTCTCGTACCAAATCATCTTGCCAAATAGCCGCAACCGTTGACAGGACGGCAAGCAGCAGCAGAAGTAGCAGCGAAGTTTTCATGGTATTCTGAAGCTTTAGAGAACCTAGAACCTTTTATCGTGGTGTATGAATTTTGCAAGCAGACGAATAACCCGATTCTGCTTTGCAAGTCAAGGTCAAAAACGCTTTGGGGATCAGGTCCAAGACCGGCGTTGAGAAAACCGAAAAAGCCAAAGACCAACGAAAACGGATGAAGGAATCCGCAAAAAAATATGCCCCGCGGAAACAGTTTTAAAGGCTAGGCTTAGGCTTAGGCTTAGGGGTCTGCTGAGGCTTAGGGCTTAGGCTTGGGCTTAGACTTAGGGCTTAGGCTTAGGCTTAGACTTAGGGCTTAGGCTTGGGCTTAGACTTAGGGCTTAGGCTCAGGCTTAGGCTTAGGCCTAGGCTTAGGCTTATGCTACAAGCAAAACAGCAGCAAAACATAAATATGCAAACGCTTGCAAACTCGCTGTTTTGAAGGCGTTCGAGTGAAAAAATCTGTTGTGTCCCTAAAATACCTAAATCGAGAACCGGGATACTTTGCCTGGGGGAATATGTAGTTCTGGGAGATAATTTTGACCCCATAAAACATCGAACCGAAAAATTTTTCCATTAAATAGCTTTCTGCACGTTTAAGGTGTTTATAAATCTTGGTTTCAGGCCCAATCCCATCCCTCTTTACGGCAAAAACATCAATCGTGGTCTCCCAAATTGCGCCAATGCCCCACAGGAACCTTCGCCGATAAATTCATTTATTCATTGCGAAAAATATTTCATGGTTGCATAGAATTATTACATAGAATCTATATAATTTTTGAAATCACACATTTGATCAAGCCTTGAGCGCGCTTCCGTTTTCCTTCTCAATGATTTCCTGGGCTTTTTTGATAGTGGAAGATGGGTCGCTGGTATTCTCGACCTTGAAGACGAAGATTTAAAAATAAATATAAAGCTCACCAAGACACCCCTCCATCCGTATTTCTCAGCACCATCAAGGTTCAGCTGCAGATCGTCGAGGAAGAGGACTTCTTCCTTCTTGATGCTAGGGTCAACTTTGAGGAGTCGAGAGTGGGAGAGCTAAAAGTGATTGGATGTTTCGGTTAGGGGGACGCGAGACGCCACGCGCGATCCCACGGGACGCTTGCGTCGCGTGTTGCGTCGCGTGTTGCATTAATAGGTATTGCTCACATCATAGATTTTCCATTCTGGCTTCTCACAGCCCTCCTCGCGGCTTTCTACGATCGAGTCAAAGAGGGCCTTGTCGACGGGGGTGCAGTCGTGTTTTTTCTCCTAAAATTGGAAAGGCACCGTTAATCCGACAGCCTTCAGAATTTTAAAGGTCTCGGCAAGACATCTTATGGATTTTGCGGGGCTCGCTACGCGCGACGCGCGCATCGATTTAGCGTTTCGTGTCTCGCAGTGAGGTTCGCTGTATTTTTAGCCGATTTCCATCGTTTATCGGCCCTTCCTATTTTTCTCACCTTGTCCACCCAGAAGTTGTTCGTCAAAAGCCCGGTCTTGATGCCATTTCTGCGCAGCTGAGCGATGAAATCGAACATGATTTTGTGCTAAAAAATTCTCCGTCCATCTTGACCTAGAAATCCTGGCCTTGCTGAAGATGTCGGGCTTGGAGAAGCGCTGGAACCAGCCGATCGACTCGGTGCGGGTGGTGCCGAACTGAATTTTTAATTGAAATTTTGCTTATGGATAGCTTACGATCTTGTTGACCGCCTCCACCATGCCGTTGGCCTCAAACTCCTCCAGACTGAGCTTGCCGGTCATGAGGTCCGAGCTGTTGAGGAACAGATCGAAGAGCTAAATATTTTCCTCGATTTATAGAACCGAGTTGACTTACTAGAACCTTTAAAATAATTAATTACCCACCACTTTCTTCTTTGCGTGGAACGCATCGTCCGTCACCTCGAACTGCTTGGCGAGCTCGGCCAAGAATTTTCCGACTTGGTCGTAGCTGACCAGCACGCCACCATAGTCAAACACGACGGCTTTCACGACCATTTTTGTGTTGTGGTGTTGGGTTCAGGGGAACTGGCGAACCGGGGGAAGTGCAAATAAATTTATGCGGCGGACCTACGCTTGGTTCTGGGCCGGTTACGCCCATTTTTCCCGTTCGATGATATGGATGTAAATCCGAGAAGCACCACCGGTTTTTTTCGGGGAAACCGGAGAGAGAGAGAGAGAGAAGGGAGAGCGAGAGAGCGAGAGAGCGAGAGCGAGAGAGAGAGAGCGAGAGAGCGAGAGAGGGCGGAAGAGACATCATCAGCAACACAAAATGATGGACGACGACCAAGCAAACAGAAAAATGATAATCGCCCTGGAGAGAAATCGGCTGATACGTTTCTCGGTGTCTATATCATTGGAAATTCCCACGACTGATAGGCCCCCCAATTTGTGATTGACGATGAATGTGGGTGGCCATTTTCGTCAAAGATCATATTTATTGCACCAAAATTAATTTTTGCAGAGGTTTATAAGAGGGCATTATTGGACATCAACCTCCAGATGGGTCCCATTTTCCGCCTTGATCAGCTCCAGGGCGCGAGCTAGGGCTTTCCGGGGGTCGGTTGGGTTGCAGACCTAACAAAAGCGTTTACAAATGTCGTAAAAATAAAAAATAACCCGATCCCGAAAACTTACAAGGACCGCCTTCCATCCAAACTGCTCGGCAGCGTCGATGTTCTCCTGAACATCATCAAGGAATAGAACTTCGTGCTTTTCGATTTTTGAGTCGGACTCAACGACACGCGAATGGCAGAGCTAAATAACTCAATACAGGAAAGAATGGCTTTAGCTCACCTCATAAATTTTTGGATCGGGCTTCTCGATGCCTTCAAGTCGGCTCTCTACTACCGCATCAAAAAGGGCCTTGTCGATTGGAGTGGATTCGATTTTCTTGGCCTAATTAGCATATATTTTGGCTAAACTCCACATACCCCCCCAGCCGATCCCCAGCTACCGTATCTCGGTTCCCTGTTCATCTACAGGTGTGTACAGTATACCAAAATGTTAGTCTTGCTCTGGCGAGTATTTCGGTATGCTGTACACATCTGTAGATGAACAGACGACCGAGATACAAAAGTTGGGTGCCGGCTGGGGGGTGATCTGGAGGCTTAACTATATTTTTTTAGTTTTTCTTGTTTAGTAAAAATACATCATTAAAAATTCTTGCGAATCAACGTAGTTACTTAAAATTGATCAATTATGGAAATTGCAGCAATAACTAACTGAGAAAATCAATAAAGGCCATCATTTCCGACCCACCTTGTCAATATAAAAATTGTTCGTCAGCAGCCCCGTCTTGAAGCCGTTTGCCCGGAGCACATCGATAAAGTTCAGGATCGGTTTGTGCTAAAATGGGCGCGACTGTTGCAATGATTTGGCACAAAAACGCACATAAGAGAACAGGTTCGGGTCACAAAAGTGATGCATCCATCTGATCGGCTCCTTGTGGTTGGTGCCGAACTGAAAGCAGAAATTGATATCTTAAGGATTTTTACATAAGTCTATGGATCAATTGGTTTTTAGAACGAATAAGGGGAGCTTGACTTACCGCGTGATTGAGCGAATCTAGAAATTCGGCTTCTTCGAATTCTTCGGCCGAGATTTTCCCGGTCATTAGCCGACGGTCGCCGACGAAGAATTGGAAGATCTAGAAGGTTCTATATTTCTGTAATACTGTATTTGCATCGTTAATAAGCTTACGGCTAACTTAAGAATACGCATCAGGCAAAAACCATGGCGTTTTCACGATCCAAAATACACTGTTTTACTTTTTTATAGGTTTGGCTTTAAATTTATACAATGCAGGATAGATAAGACCACTAACCTTGTCCTTTCTGCTCAAAAACGTCTGATGGTCGACCCCCAAATCGTCAGCGATTTTCATGAAGAGTTTGGGGAGCTGGGAGTAGCTCATGATTACGCCACCAAAATCGAACACGACTGCTTTGATCACCATTTTCTGAAAATGTCATCGTTTTCTACAATATAAATATTTCAACAAAATACACGGCATTTATTTTTAAACATCCAAAAAGTCCGACGAATAAGCTAAGGAAAGAAGGTAAGAGGTGAGTTTACCCCCCCAGCCGGCCCCAACTGTTGTGTCTCGGTCACCTGTTTGTCTACAGTTGTGTAAAGTATACCAAAATGTTCGTCTTGCTCTGGCGAGTATTTTGGTGCACTTTACAGGCAGCTACAACAACGGGGTGTCCTGATTCAGTAGGTAAAAGCTAGCGGGGGGGGTGAAAGTGATTTTCATCGGTACGAATTACGAAAGAAAGGAAATTGTTGTGTCTTGATAGAGTGTGGTGCGCAGCGGGACGAACAGTTTACGAACAACTGTTTATTCGGTGAGCAACATGGCGGCAAGAGGAGGAGAAATTAGAACCGAATTGGAACTGGGGAAATAAATGCCATCGCTGGCCCAGTGGGGAGAGAGACCCCGCTACGGTGGAAAGGGCACTGGATAGGCGAGGGGCCGGGGAGCGAAGGGAAAAGGCGGGGGCGCTCGAAGGCGCTCCGCAACACCTCCCCCTGTACAAAACGAAAAAGAAAGGAAATGTGAATAGGAGAGGAGACACCAACGGAAAATGTACAACTGCGTACAGCAAAACGAAGGATCAAATCACAACGTAAAACAAGTCAAACTTATTTGCTTTTTCCTTTATTAATTGGCGCGCGCGTGGGCGACAGTCATCCTTCCTTCCTTCCTTCAACGTTCGACGGTGCTTCACCAAGGTAGACGGCACTGCGGGCACGCCTCCTTCCCTCATGCAGGAATGATGAGCTTGATCTTGCCGCTCCGTGTCGACGGGCTCGCTGGGGCACCGTCCGCCGAGCTGCTGCATCAGACTCGGTCTTCGCGATGGGCCTCTTCCGTAGAGGGGAAATCCATCGGCCGGCTGCTCGCTGTAGTGGCGCGCCGGTCTTCTCGACTACAAACCGTCGGAGGTTGCCGGGGGCTTTTCAGAAAAGCCTGGGTCCCGGTCTTTCAGGCTACAGACGGCCGTAACGTCGCCGGCGACTTTTCAAAAAAGTCGGCTCTCCGGTCTTTCCAAGACGGGCCTCTTCCATAGAGGTGTACCATCTGCCGGCCGCTCTCGGTAGTGGCGCGCCGGTCTTTCTCGACTATCAACCGTCGGAGGTTGCCGGGGGCTTTTCAAAAAAAGTCTGCTTCCCGGTCTTTATACGACGGGCCTCTTCCATAGAGGTGTACCATCGGCCGGCGGCACTCGGTGGTGGCGCACCGGTCTTTCTCGGCTATCAACGGCCGGACGTTGCCGGGGACTTTTTCAAAAAAATCGGCATCCCGGTCTTTCAACGGCTATAAACGGCCGGACGTTGCCGCGGGCTTTTCCAACGTGAAAAGACACCGCGGACTTTTTCTTCTTTCCTTGAAGAAGTCGCGGCCGGCCTTGACGGAGTTCCACTGGGCGAGCGGCAGCCGGATGCCGCGTAGTTGACCCATTCGTCTCGGCCTTCTCTGCATTTCTTGTCGTCCTTGACTGGAGACATCCTTCCTTCCTTCTTGCGCTTGAGGGCGAAGACGGCGCGCTTCGACTTGGTCCTTCTTGTCGACGGGCATGGCCTCGCGATCCGGGCACATGAAAGTGCGAAGGCCAAATAGGGGCAAAAAGACTTCCCTTTTAATCGAATCCTCCATGGGATGACGCTGCTTCTTTGCCATGTAGAGTTTCTTGTCCTTGCGCTTGATCCACATCTGCTTGACCAACTTGTCCTTGACTGGGCGGCGGCTTTAGCGGCTGCTTCTTGGCTTGGGCTTTTCCTTGATGTTGCGTGAGTTCGGAATCCTTGATCGCCAGTTGTTGTGTCTTGATAGAGTGTGGGGCGCAGCGGGACGAACAGTTTACGAACAACTGTTTATTCGGTGAGCAACATGGCGGCAAGAGGAGGAGAAATTAGAACCGAATTGGAACTGGGGAAATAAATGCCATCGCTGGCCCAGTGGGGAGAGAGACCCCGCTACGGTGGAAAGGGCACTGGATAGGCGAGGGGCCGGGGAGCGAAGGGAAAAGGCGGGGGCGCTCGAAGGCGCTCCGCAACAGAAATGAATAAAGATAAAAACGATGTCAGAATTTTGGCGCTTCAATTTTTGGCAGAAGTTAGTGTTGTTCCTGAGCTTCTGTGATGTCTTTATATACCGAAACCCTGTTGGGCTTATCAGCTGTCCGGGGGGTGCCGTGTGTCTAATTGTCTCGGGGGTGTAGTGTGTTGTGTAGAGTGGCTGTTTCCTGCTGGCTTTCTGATCGCAAGGGGTGAATGGGATGGTTCATCGTTTTGGGCAGAGAGCATCGAAATGCTGTATTTTGTGACGGGGTCACACTTTTTGAAATCGGCTGCCTGGCCTTTTGGTGTCCCCAAGTTCAGGCACTGCTTTTTTAAGTCAGTGTACATTACTTTAAATACCCCAAATATTTTGAACTCGGTTAGGAACTCCATTCCTAAGTTTTCAATGGCTGTTTCACTAAGAACAGGCCCGTCTTCGTGTGAATTTCGAGCTCGTTTCTGCAGCCATTGCCGCTCTACCATGATTCCTAAGTTATTTCGGTAGCAGCGACTTGGTTCTGCTAACCCTTTGTCAAATTTCAGTGAAAATCCAACATTTTCCTAGCCAATTTTTGCACCTTTTACAGACGACCGCAAAGTGCCAGCCCCCTTTTTTGTATTTTGTGACGAGGGGGACAGAAATCGGGTTGGCTGTCAATGCTATTTCGAGCCCTTTCCCTGCGCACTGGCTGAAAAAAATTGACCACCACGTAAACGATCGGGTTGATAATCGAGACACCCCTGAACTGGTCTCATCGCCACGATCAAAATTTGAGCCCATCCTAACATTGAAGGGTCGGGGAAAGGGGGACCTATGGATTTTGCCGCACCTCGGCACGCGACGCACGCAACCCGTACCATCTGCGCATTTTGTTTGATCCCCCCCCCCCCTTTCTTTTGGCTATCTCGTTACCTAACTGTAAAGTGTTTTTACTCAAACTGGAGTTCCAAATTTGCTGCGGACTTTTATTTTGAAAGTTATACAGCAATTATGGTAGCGTTTTTCACCAAAATCAAGGAACCGTCATCGTTTTCGAATTTCTTGATCAACTCCAACGTCTAAATTGGCTAGAAATCTTAACCCCAAAACAAGCTTTTTCGATAAAAATTCGATTTTTTTATGCAAAAAGCAAAAGGAGTGATGCAGGGCGGGGTGTCGAACCGGCGCCCTGCGCTTGGCAAGCGAGCACTTTGCAAATGCACCATGCACAACCGCCCATGGGTTCGGCCCAGATGGTTCAGGGGAAAGGACGTACTGTGCGTGTTTTTCGCGCGTTGCGTGCTGGTGCGCGGAATAGCAACCGGTTTTTAGCTGCGTAGGTCTGCTTTCGCAATTGCGCGACGCGTCTATCGCACGCGTTGCGGTCTTCCCTCCTTTCCAAAGCTACCGGACACTTTATTAGGAGCCGGGCCGCTGTGCATGGTGCCAACTGGGCAGCGGGCTGTGAGAGCGTACTTGAGGCCAGCTCGGAACCCTACAACCAAGCCGTGAATAGTGGGCCAGAATCCGAATTTTTGCCTTTTTGAAGCGTAATTTCCACCAAAAATGACTCTTGAAAGAAAAGTCCGCAGCAAATTTGGAAAACGGGTTCGGAATCAGCGAAAATTCTGCCCACGATGCAGGAACTTTCAGGAGCGGCCACTCGCCTGCCACGCGACCATCACGCAGGCTATTCAACAACCTCCATCTCCTACGAATCCTGGATTTCCCAACCAGTTTACACCGAAGTCAACATTCCGATCCATCGCATCGCTCTTTTCATATTCACAAACTCCTGCACATAGCATTTTGATGCCCGGGGGTAAAATATTTATTCGACAATCGAATGTAGAACACAGAATAAACGATGAATTAGGCGGAAGTAGGTCGGGTGTGGGGGAATAGAGGCGCATCTACTACAACAGGCGAGTAGGGAAAAATCGGTTGGTTGATCGCGTCGTTACGCTTATTGCTTCACGGGCTCTTCAGGCAGCGGCTTCATCGCGGCCTCTAGGCCTTGGACGACCTCTTGGAGCGCTTGGACTTCTTGCCGTCGGGGGTGGTCGACTGCGTCTTATTCGACTTCAGCTCTCTGCGGCTGGATTTCTTGGATTTTTTGGTCCTCGGCTGCTGGGAGGCGGACTTGCGCGAGCTGGGGTCGTTCGCCTTCTTGGATGAGAGTTGTTCAGGCTGGAAAGAAGGTTTTTTGGGTTTTTGTTGAAGGTCGAAGCTGGCTTAAGTGTCTTACGGTTGGCAAAGTTACCTCTTTATCTTCAAGCTGCGAGACGGCATCGGCAACGGAAACTTGGCCCATCAACGAATCGTCTCCAGTGCCCGGCTTGAAGAAGTAGCGGCCGGAGAATGCCGCAACCACGCAGAGGATCTTGACGAGGATGGCTGAAAACGGGTAGATGATCATGAGAGAGAGAGAGAGAGAGAGAGAGAGAGAGAGAGAGAGAGAGAGAGAGAGAGAGAGAGAGAGAGAGAGAGAGAGAGAGCGATAGATCGACAGAAACCCACTCATCACAAACAAGTAGATGCGCATCTTGTTGCTGTCATACACCGAGCAGCTACCCTGCTCGTCGAAGCACGTGCTCTTCCAGTAGACGCACGCCGTGTCGATGATCTTGCCCATCGCCAACACTCCGGGGATCGAGCCTAAATAGTGAGCACCACCTCAGCCAGCCTCAAGTCCAAACCGGCAAAACGCATCCACATCCAGCTGTAACAAATGTAGGCGTCGCGGTGCTCGAAGGCGACCACCCTGCAAGCACGGTGTCTAAAGGCTAACAGTTGCCTCACTTTAGCGCCGCATTCTGGATCAAGGGCCCGGTGGCGAAAGTGAACAGCGCCATCACGGCGAACAAGACGAAGAAGGCGTACTGAAAAATAGATGGATATTGGCAGTT